AGCCTGTGTGCCTACCCTGGCCCAGCGCCTGCTCTCCAGCTATGGGGGCACTGTGCTTCAGGCCCTCCCCTCCTCTCCATGCTGCTCCCACGTCTCCACCCACGCCCACTCCTGTCTCCTTTTCCTGGTCTTCAAGACTCGAGCTCATTCCATGGGCACCAGGGAAAGTATGCCCTAGGAAAGCAGTTTAGTAGTTTCTCACAAGGATAAACAAACATAGAATTATTATATGAGCCACCAGTTTGACTTGCAGATATAAGGATTCGAAAGTTATGGTTCCTGATGTAAAATAAACTATTAGGGTATTTTGGAATTCCAAAGCTGGGAACTAACTAGGTTTGTGTTACCAAATTTCTACTCCAGGAATCTGATGATTCCCCTCAGAAGCGAGCTGCTCAGGCGTCGTTGCAGACCCAGAAGAAGGCATGGAGCCAAGGGCAAGGCCCCTGCTGTGGCCAAGTCAGGTGCCCATGGAGCCCAGGAACTGCTTCCTCCTTGCTGCCGCTTTTTTCCTGATTCTGCCACCTTTGCCCAAAACGCCAAGAAATGTCCCTCTAAAAACATTCGTTTAGTAATGAGCTAATGGGAAACAGATTTACTATTCATTACACAAAAATAATATAGAAAAATCCAGGGAATATGGACTAGGAATATGGACTTTCTGTAGTAGTATTCAAAGTAAGACACATTTAGATTTCAGAGTCCTTAGCATTTAAAGTGCTTTAATCTATACAGACTGCCTCAATCATGTTTAAAACTGAATGTAACCAAGGAAGGTGGCCAATGCCTGTAATCCCAAACTCTGGGAGGCTGAGGCAGGAGGACTGAAATTAAAGCCCAGACAAGCAATTTAGCAAGACCCTCTCTCCAAGTGCACTAAACTAAACTAAACTTGGCTAGGGATATAACTCAGTGTGAAAGCCCTGGGTTCATTCCTCAGTGTCATACCAAAAAAAAGTAAATAAATAAAACATGTACAGAATCGCAACTTTTTATTCATTTACTGGATGGAAATTAGTGGTTTCTTGTAGTTTCACTGGGCAGGCTCTTTCTCTTTGCTAAAGAGGTCAAAACACTTCTCTTCCTCCTTTCTTGTATCTACCTGTCAAACAGAGCTACATTGGTGTTCACAGCAGTGCAGCTCCCAGTAGCCAAGTGTCCAACACAGATGAATGGGAAACAAAATGTGTTTGTGTGCAGGGGAATGCTACTCATCCTTAGGAGGGACTGAAATTCTGATACAGCATGGCTCGACATCTAAGAACGTGTGATGAGTAAAATAAGCCAGTCCCCAAAGCTCAAATACTGCATGGCTCCACTTAGGAGGTTTCCAAAAGGGGAAAATTCATGGAGATGGAAAATAGCACAGATGCTATCAGACTGGGGGACAGGAAGGGGAGATGCCAGTAATTCTGGAAGTAGTGTTGATGGTTGTCACATCATTGTGAATGAATTTAATGCCACTGAATTACACACTTAAAAATGGTCAGAATGAGCCAGGGATGGTGGTGCATGCCTGTAATCCTAGCACTTGGGAGGCTGAGGCAGGAAGATCACATGTTTGAGCTCAGCCTAGGCACCTGAGTGACTTAAGGAGACCCTTTGTCAAAATTTTAAAAAAGTAGTGAAAAGAGCTAAACATACATTTTAGGCCAAGTATGGTGGTACATGCCTGTAATTCCAGGACTCAGGAGGCTGACGCAGAAGATCAGTGTGAGTTCAAGGCCAGCCTATAGTACATATTAAAACCCGGTCTAGCGGGCTGGCGATTTAGCTCAGCGGCACAGCGCCTGCCTGGCAAGCGCGAGGTCGTGAGTTCGATTCCCGGTACCGGAAGAAAACCAAAAAAAAAAAAAGAAACCTGGTCTCAAAAAAAACCCCTGAAAAACGAAAACAATGGGCATGGTGGTGCACGCCTATAATCCCACCATCAGGCTGGGAGGCTGAGGCAGGATTGTTGTGAGTTTGGGACCAGCCTGGGCTACAAAGTAAGCTCAAGGCCAGCCTGTTATGAACTGTATAAGGAGACCCTGTCTCAAAAAAGACAAAAAGAAAAAAAAAAGGTAAATTTTATATACATATTTTACCATAATAAACATAAATTTTTGTTTTTTCAGACATGGGGTATTTTTGTCCATTGCATTGAGCTACATCCCCAGTTCATTTGTTCATTTGTTGTGGTACTGGGTATTAAATCCAGGATCTTCACACTGAACTACATCCCCACACCCCAACTTTGTTTTTTTTTGTTTTGTTCTGTTTTTTCGGTTTTTTTCCAGTACTGGGAATTGAACTCACGACCTTGTGCTTGCCAGGCAGGCACTGTGCCGCTGAGCTAAATCCCCAGCCCCTCCAACCCTTTTTTTGTTTGATGTTTTATTGAGACAGGGTGTCACAGTGTAGTTCAGGCTGGCCTTAAATTTGCCATGTAATCCCAGGCTGGCCCTGAACTCTTACCAGCCCTCCTGCTTCAGCCTTCTAAGTGCTGAGATTGTAGGCACGTGCCACCTCAACTGGCTCTAACCCTTTTTTATCTTTTATTTTCAGACAGGGTCTTACTGCATCACCAAGTTGCTCAGGTGGGGCTCAGACTTTCTGTCCTTTGCATCAGCCTCCCAAGAGTGCTGTTGGATTAGAGACCTGTGCCACTATGCCATGTTCCCAGCCCTTTGATTTTTGATTTTGAGACAGGGTGTTTCTTAGTTGCCGAAGCTGAACTTGCAGCCCTCCACCCAGAGCGTTCCTGAGTGCTGGGATTCTGGTTGTATACCACCACACCTTGCTAAGAAAAAGTTTTGTTTTGTTTTGTTTTTAATGTTTTTTTTTGAGACAGGGTCTCACTATGTAGTTTGACCTTGAATTCACTGTGTAGTCCAGGCTGGCCTCAAACTTAGATGATCCTCTTGCCTCAGCCTCCCATGTGATGAGGTTACTGGCATGTGCCACCACATCCAGTGAACACAAATTTTTTTAATTTTTATTTTTATCAGTACATGTTTGTAATATATGATTACATTCATCTTGGGGAGTTGGCACATGTATGTACTGTAACACATCTTAGTTTTTTTTTTTTTTAATTCGTCTCTCCAGATTTGTTTTGTTTTGCTCTTGCATCTTTCATCAAAGATGTTTCCTTTGAGTCTAAATTCAGTCCTGTGTGCTTAGACTAAGCCTGTTGCTTTCAGTCTGGCTTATGATAGAAGGTAAATTGATTTCCTCTCCAATGCTCTAATGTTCCTCACCCCCAGAATTGGAGGGTATATTATACATCTTTTTTTTATTGGTACATTTTTATTTATTTATTTACTGGGAATCAAACTCAGGACATTGTGCTTGCCAGGTAGATGCTGTGCTGCTGAGCTATATCCCGAGCCCTATTGGTACATTTTAGATATAATAACATTCATCATAGGGAATTTGTGCCTGTACATCTTACATCTTGCTGCTTTTTTTCCCCATTCTCCTCCCCTCCCTTCTTCCTCTTCTCCTTATTTACAAAAGCTTTGTTTCTCTTTTTCCTTCTCTTTTTTCTTGTTCCTTCTTTCCTTCCCTCCTCCCCATCCCTTGTTCCCCTTTTTTTTCTTTTTCTTTTTTTTCTCTTTTTGAGACAAAGTCTAGTTATATAGTTCAGGCTAGCTTTAAACTCACTATGGGGCCGGGGATATAGCTCAGTGGCATAAGTGCCTGCCTGGCAAGCGCAAAGTCCTGAGTTCGATTCCCAGTACCTGCCCCCCGCCCCCCAAATAAACTCACTATGTAGCCCAGGCTGGCATCAAACTCACAGCAATTTCTCTGCCTCAGCCTCCCAAGTGCTGGGATTACAAGGGTGCACTATCACACTTAGCATTCCCCTTCTTATTTGAATATTTTCTTCCCGTTTCCCAGTTTAATACATTTTGGTCCTTATTTACACTTTTGGTTTCTCACAGCAGAGAAACAATACAGTATTTAAATGTGTGTCTGATTTATTTCACTTAAGAGTGTGGTCTCAAGGTACATTCATTCAGCTAGAAATCTTAGTGCATGAGTTGCTCATCTGTCTGCTTTCTGGCACTAAACTGAAAATTATTTTCGTTCGTGAAATGTTTGGATAATTCCTTGCTGTATATATTTCCTGTTAGCTTGGTAGGTTCTCACAAGCTCTTGGAGAATGGAATCTTAGGTTCTTGCCTAATCACCTTTATTTACATGCTGAACAAGGCTGTGGGAACAGATGGAAAGCAATAAATTTCTTGATTTGGGGAATGTTTTTTTAAAGAAGTTGAAGCTTGCTATTCAGATACCTTGTATCATTCTTCAACTTGAAGATGCTGCAGAGTTCACACAGCTAGGAAAGTTTAGCTCTTCCTCAGTGTGATGGTTTGTCTTAGGAACAGTGCTGGTGGGTCAGATGGCACAGGTGACCTCCTGTCTTGCCCAGATCCTTGCAGTCATCTTTGGCCTGCCTTCTTCCTGGACATGAGCAGTTGGCTGGCAGACGATAAATCATTTTGTCAATGGCTTTGACCTTTCATGCCTCAGAGAAGAGTAGTTAACACACCACTTAATCCCTCTGGAGTTCCCCAGCCCTGTGGTTATGTAGGTTATGTAAGTGGTTTTAAAAGTGAAGCTGAGATTGGGTGCAATTGTGGGCCAAATCCCATTCATCTTCTACTGGACAGATTTATAGGAAGAAGAATGGGCACAGTCTTTTCTGTCTGCTGAGGACCAAGTGGGAAGAAATAATGTCAGTCTAACAGAATAGAAATTGGTACCACAGAGGCAGGGGAGTAAGTGACTGAAGGGAGGTTGAGGCATGCATGGCCTGATCTTGAGGCATGGCCTGGTCTCTGAAGCTCCGCTGTAGGCTAGGCCCAGGGCTGGGGGTGGGGGCTGCACCTCTGTACAGAGGTGTTGCAGACAAGGCAGTGTCTTTGCCCAACCCCTTTATAAATGTGCTCATTTAATGTGGCTCCTAAACAGTGAGGCCTTATTCCTTTTTTTTTTTCTTTTTTCCTTAGTCAGATTCTGAGGAAGATGAACCCACAATGAAGAAAATTGTCCTTCAGGTAAGCTTCATAAGTCATGTCTTCTCTTCCACACTGCTTCCTGAGACAGGACCTAAGATGCTCAGCAGCTTTCAGGGTGGGTGCAGTGCAGACGCAAGGGTTTGAGGACCCTCCAGGTCTGGCTTTGGTGTGCTTCAAAGCTTCAGGCCTGGTACATCCCTGCGCTGTCCTCACTGCTTTCTTAGCACAGTGGAGTTAACCTCCCCTGGAGGACAGGCGATACGGGGAAAGGCCTGGAGAGGCGTACTAACTCAATTCAGTTCATTACATTTCAGGTAAAAGGATTATTTAGGGAGGGGAGGGTAAATGGATTGGTTAGAATGATGTTAGGGAGCATCTGTATTTTAAAATTGTCTATCTTTTCCCAGTCTTATTTTTAACCTGGAAATAAACACTTAATAGCACTTACTTGGTTCCAGGCACTGTTCTGAGTGCTTTACCAGTATCTAACTGATTCTGTCCTCATAACAGTGCTAAAGGCAGAGTGTTATTATTATTATCCTTGTTTTGTGTATTAGGAAACTAGGAACTTGGCCAAAGTCAGACTGTGGAGGCAGAGCTGGGATTACAGTTATGTCAGGCAGTCTGACTGCGGAGTCTGAGCCCAAGCAATTGCTGCACTTGTCTGTTTCTCTTTCATCAATACCAGAAGTCCTCAGCAAGACAATCTCCTGCTTGGTTCCCCTTGCCCTAGTGGGGACCTTTATGCTGACCTCCAGAGTTTCTCCCTGTTATTTCCACACTCAGGGCACTCTCTCTGATCTGATGTCTTGGGAAAAGTGGTGCTGTCAGGTGTGGTGGTGCGTGACTGTAATCTTGGCACTTGGGTGTCTGAGGCAAGAGGCTGCCCACAAGTTTAAGGCCAGCCTGGATTACATAAGTGAGTTCAAGGCCAACTTGAACAATATAGCAAGTCTTAAGCTATCCATGTTTCATGTGAACTGTAGTCCTCTGTCTTAGCCTCCCAGAGTGCTGGGATTACATGTGCCACTGTACCCTGCTCAGGAGGTTTTGAAAGTACAGTGTTGGGGGCTGGGGATTTAGCTCAGCAGCACAGTGCCAGCCTGGCAAGTGTGAGGTCGTGAGTTCGATTCCCGGTACCAGAAAAAAACAAAAAACAAAACAAACAAACAAAGAAAGTACAGTGTTGTGTGGAAGTTAGACAGCCAGTGAGGCAGGGTGAGTCTGGCCCAGATTGGCTGGCCTGGGTAAGTAGAGGTAGAAGGTACTGAGGCCCGGTGAGATTTTTGGGTAGCAGACATAGCTAACTCTTGCTTTTGGTGTTGCAAGTAATATAACATAAAATCTCACTTGTCGTCTTTCTTCCCTTCCACCCCAAACTTGGGCTCACCAGGGATCCGGCGAGGGGACTGGTTTGTCTGCCTTGCTTCCCCAACCTAAAAATCTGACTGTGAAAGAGACTAACAGGTTGCTCCTACCCCATGCCTTCTCCCGGAAACCCTCAGATGGCCCCTCTGACACCAAGCCCTCCAGACTGGCTTCTAAGACCAAGCCCTCTTCTCTTGCACCTGTTGTGGGCACCACAACCACCACTCCATCACCCTCTGCCATCAAGGCTGCCGCCAAGAGTGCTGCCCTGCAGGTGACAAAGCAGATCACGCAGGAGGAGGACGACAGTGATGAGGAAGTAGCCCCTGAGAACTTTTTCTCCCTCCCTGAGAAGGCCGAGGCACCTGGAGTTGAGCCATACCTTTACCCTGTCCCTACTGTCCCTGAAGAGCTGCCTCCAGGCACGGAGCCAGAGCTGGCGTTCCAGGACGATGCAGCCAATGCCCCCCTTGAGTTTAAGATGGCAGCAGGCTCAAGTGGGGCCCCTTGGATGGCTAAGCCTGGGGATGACTACAGCTACAATCAGTTCTCTGCATATGGCGATGCCAATGCCGCTGGTGCTTATTATCAGGTGGGTAGAGGGCCCTGAGGTCAGGCTGGGGAACGTGAGCATGGTGCACAAGGAAGGTTTGAGTCATTGAAATGGCCTCTTGGCTATACTTGCCTTGACTTCCCCATACCTATTAGACCTCAGAACGTAACTACTTTTAGTCTGGACCTGTGGATCTAAATTGTCTTATAGTCTGATAGGGTGAGACACATAATTGATACCTTTATTCTGTATATGAGTCAGTTTTCCATCACTCTGACAAAACACCTAAGAGAATCAACTCAGAAAAAGGAAAGGATTATTTTGGTGAGTGGTTTCAGTCCATGGTTCTATGGCCCCACTGCCTGTGGCAGAGCAATACTTCACGCTTGGTACGTGTGGCCGGGAAGCCACTTACTGCCTATGGCAGAGAAGCAGAGAAGAAAGGGGCTGGGGTCCCCTGTCTCCTTCAAGGGCACACCTCATTTCCTCCCACCAGACCTCACCTCCTAAAGGTCCCATCACCTCCTGGCAGTGCTGCAGGCTGGCAGCCAAGCCATTAATGCGTGGGTCCTGAGGGAACACTATCCACACTGTAGCATTCTGAAAACAGTCTTACTATGGGAGCTGGTGAAAGGACCAGGGAGAGGGGTAGGCTCCAAGCCTAGAGGTAGAAGGGACTTGGCTCAGGTGTGGAGGCTGCTGATCAGGGGACTGTCGGATAGATTCCCAGAGAGCAGTTAGGCCCAGAAGAGTCTCTGGGGGTAGGGAGGCAGGGAGGGACTGAGGAGGAAAGGGAGTCTGCAGAGCGGAGTGCAAAGGGGTGGTGAGGAGACGGGCGAGAGTCCTGCACTGAGCCTGGAGCAGCTGGAAGGGCTGAAGCAGATCCCTTGAGGAGATACCATGGGGCCTGGGCTGGACAGTGATATGATGTGTCCTTTTTTATTTTTTTGTCTTTTTGAGACAGGGTGTCCCTATGCAGTTCAGATTGACCTTGAGCTTACTTTTTAGCCCAGGCTGGTGTCTAACTCACAAGGATCCTCCTGCTTCAGCCTCCCAAATGCTGGGATTACAGGCATGCGCCACCACACCCGGCCAATATGATGTGTCCTGAGTTGGGGCAGATTACTGGACTGCCTCCATATAAGCCTCAGCGTCCTTGGCTGCAGAAGGGAGTTTGAGGGCAGCATCTCAGGTTTCCAGGAGAATCATGGCTTGGCTTGGGTGCTGCCTGGAGTAAAGTAAATGCTCAGGAAGTGGTTACTGTAACCTTTCGTTCACGTTTTATTTAAATGTTACTTGGTTTTTTTTTTTTTGTACCAGAAATCAAACTCAGGACCTTGCACTTGCCAGGCAGGTGCTTATGCCACTGAGCTATATCCCCGGCTTTAAGTGTTACTTGGGAGAGATGTTTGATATCCACGTAGCCTCAAAGGGTGGGCACCTAGGATGCTAGGCTGTAAGTAGGTTTCTAGCTGTTGGAGCTTCCCTGGATGGAGAGGGTGCTTTGGATCTGGGGGACCTTGGGATGACTGAGCAGAAGCCTCTTGACTGGACAGCTATAGAAAGCTTAGTGCCGGCATAGAGTGGTGGAAAGACTTGAGTCTTTTTCAGCCACTGTGCTGCTCTGAATGGTCAGGGTTGGTCTTTGAGTCTGAGCATAAGGAGGAAAAGAAGGCTTCCAGGGTCCCTGTTTTTTTGTGTTTTTGTTTTGATTCTGTGTGTGTGTTTGTTTTGAGACAGGGTCTTGCTGTGTAGCCCAGGGTGGTCTTAAACTTACTGTGTAACCCAGGCTGCCCTCAAACTCCTGGCACTCTTCCTCCCTCAGCCTCCCAAGTGCTAGGATTAAAGGGGTGTGCTACCATGCCCGGCTCAGAGTCCCTGATTTGACCAAAGACTTCGAAAATTCATTTTGTTTTCTAAATCATTGCTGTCAAACCCTGTTGCATCTAGTAGGCTGATGAGAGACACTGTGTCTCCCCTCAGGGTGGACAGAAGGAAGGAGGAAAATAACAGTGTTTTGACCTCTTTAGCAAAGAGAAAGAGCCTGCCCAGTTAAAGTACAAGAAACCACTGATTTCTGCCAGGCGTTACTTTTTTTTTTTTTTTGGTGTGATACTGAGGAATGAACCCAGGGCTTTCACACTGAGCTATATCCCTAGCCAAGTTTAGTTTAGTTTAGTGCACTTGGAGAGAGGGTCTTGCTAAATTGCTTGTCTGGGCTTTAATTTTCAGTCCTCTTGCCTCAGCCTCCCAGAGTTTGGGATTACAGGCATTGGCCACCTTTTCTGGTTATATTCAGTTTTAAACATGATTTGAGGCAGTCTGTATAGATTAAAGCACTTTAAATGCTAAGGACTCTGAAATCTAAATGTGTCTTATTTTGAATACTACTACAGGAAGTCCATATTCCTAGTTGCCCTGGATTTTTTTTTTTTAAACAGAAAGTTTATTTAAACAACAAGACACTTGACTTAAAGGGAAAACTACCTAGGATTCTTTTTTTTTTTTTAAAGAGTAACTTACTCCTACTTAAAGTCAGACTGCCCTACATGTAACAGCTATGTACAAAAAAGTTATAAAATTGTCCTTGGTTTTACAATGATAAATGAAAAACATTAAAATTCTCCAATCAAACAAGGTATGCAAGGATTGCCCTGGATTTTTCTATATTATTTTTGTGTAATGAATAGTAAATCTGTTTCCCATTAGCTCATTACTAAACAAATGTTCTCAGAGGGACATTTCTTGGCGTTTTGGACAAAGGTGGCAGAATTAGGAAAAAAGCGGCAGCAAGGAGGAAGCAGTTCCTGGGCTCCATGGGCACCTGACTTGGCCACAGCAGGGGCCTTGCCCTTGGCTCCATGCCTTCTTCTGGGTCTGCAACGACGCCTGAGCAGCTCGCTTCTGAGGGGAATCATCAGATTCCTGGAGTAGAAATTTGGTAACACAAACCTAGTTAGTTCCCAGCTTTGGAATTCCAAAATACCCTAACAGTTTATTTTACGTCAGGAACCGTAGCTTCTCCTTATAGCCAGTCTCCCTGTGTCCACAAGGCTAAACAGGAGACGCAGGGCTGGCGTGCTTCACATCTCATCCTGCTCGCAGAGAGCCTGCTGGGGTCTTGGGAGTAAGAGGAGCGGGGCCAGGGGCACAGCAGAGGTTGGGAGTTGGGGTCATTGTTGGGAAGTAGCTGAGGGAGCAGGGGACAGACTGAAGTGGGAGAGAATGTCTTTATTCCTTGTCACCCTTCCCTAAAGAATACACAGCGGTCTGGATGGTGCAGATCAGAAAGCTGCAGGGACTGTTGGTGGTTTAGAGGGTAAGTCCCTGGATTTGCCTTTAACTGGTCCATCTGAGGGGCTGTAGTACGGGCGTCTCTCCACGCCTGTTTCATGAGCTTTTCACCATTTCTGGGCCAACCCTGTTCCCCCTCCTCTGTGCCTCAGTGTGTGTGTTTTCTTCCTCTTTGGCTGCAGGATTATTACACTGGTGGCTATTATCCTGCACAGGACCCGGCTCTGGTCCCCTCCCAGGAAATTGCCCCAGATGCCTCCTTCATTGATGACGAAGCAGTAAGTTAACACAGCACAAAGAATTTGTTTTTTGGTGGTGGTATGGGGATTGAACCTTGCCCAGGAAAGCCCTCCACCACTGAGCTACACCCCTAGTCCCATAAGTGATTATCTTTGACCCATGTTTGACACCAGCTTTCAAATCTGAAGCTAAAGGAACTCAAACTTTTCTAAACTGTATCAGGATTGGATTTGGCAACATGTAACAGAGAAACTGTAGCTACTAATGGCTTATGTAATGGAAGTGCATTTTTTCTCTTAAAAGAAGGCTCAGGTCAGGCTGGCCATGGTGGTGTGACAGCCCTGTAGTGTTGTCCGGGAACCAGTCCCCTTCTGATTATTCCCTTGCTGTCCCTAGTCTGTGCGCTTTATTCTTATGATAGCAGCTAAAGCTAGTGGCATTACATCTGCTTTGGAGCTGCAGCAGGGTGAAGAGAGGAAGAAGATGGACATTTCTTCCTTTTCACAACACTTCCTGAAGTTTTTGAGAGCACTTGCATCCCACTGACTAATGCCTGCTCCCTTGGCTGTATCTAGTTTCAAGGAGGCTGAGGAAATGTAGTCTTTTACTTGGATGATAACATGTCTGGCTAAGAGTTTAGTTCCTTTACACTACAGAGGAAGGGAGGGTGGGTTCTCGGAGGTACCCAGCCGCTAAGTTAAATAACTCGTGTGTCAAAAGGCAAGGCAAAAAAAAAGGCAGGGCAAATGCATTCCTTTATGCTGCTGCGAGACCCGTGTTGTGCTATGGAGTACTGTCCCACCTGTCAGACACAAGGCCTCGAAGCCCTTGTGTGTGCTGGTGGGATCTCTGCACATGTCTTCGTATGGACTTGGTTCTTTTCTGCTCACCCTCCCCTGGAAAGGTGTCGTCCCTCTGCACGTTGTCCTGTGCTTGATACCGTGTTCGTCCCCTCCCCCAGGTATACCCCTTCTGGCAAGCGCAGTAGTTGGGTTCTTTTGGCCTTCAGGCCAGGAGGCAGCTGAGCACTCACTCAGTGGCCACATTCTGTTTCTGGTAGGTAGAGCAAGCCTAGGAGGCCTCCCTCATGTTTGAACCAAGACACAGTCTCATGCTGATTTCTGGGTGGGCGCTTTGAGGTTCTGTCCCCTTCCCCACACTCCCTTCAGGCACATCTATGGATGGTGGAAGACAGGAGAAGACAGGAGAAAGCCAAGCAGTACCCTAGAGAATTGGAACGGCCCCTGCAGTGAGGTTCCATCACTCCCATTCTGCATGCTCCCTCTCCCACTTCTGCTCTGGTATGGAGTCTGCTGATTCATACCAGACCAATGACAAAGACCAGACATGGAACAAGAACCAATTTTAGAAAAGAAATCTAAAGTTTTTATTTTGGGCTGGGGATACCACTCAGTGGTACAAGTACCTGCCTAGCAAGTGCAAGGTCCTAAGTTCGATTCCCAGTACAAAAAAAAAAAAAATTTTTTTTTGAGATAGGGTCTCACTGTGTAGTTCAGGTTGTCCTTGCACTGTGTAGCCTAGGCTGGCCTCAAACTAGTGATGATCCTCCTGCCTCAGTCTCTCAAGTGCTGGGATTACAGGCAGGCCCCAACATGCCTAGCCCTGAATTTTTTTTTTGTTGTTTTTTTCAGGACTGTCTCAGTGTGTTGTCCATGCTGGCCTTGAGCTCATCGTGTACCCCAGGCTGGCTTTGAACTGGTAGCACTCCTGCTGTAGCCTCCTGAGTGCTGGGATTACAGGAGTGTACTACCATGCCCAGGCTCTTTTTGTGGGGGTTGCTGAACCCAGGGCCTCATACATGCTATGCAAGTACTCTATCACTGAGCCACAACCCTAGTCCACTTTGACTCCCTGCCTCCATTACCTGGTACTGGGGATTGAATCCAGGACCTTTTCACTGAGTGGAATCTCCAGCCTTTTTTATTTTGAGACAGGGTCGCCCTAAGTTGTTACCAGGGAGGACTCAAATTTGTGATCCTCTGCCTCAGCCTCCCAGCCTACCAGAGTTATAGGCGTGTGTCACCATGCCGAGCCCTGAGTTTTTAATACGATTATGTGTATGGTTCTTTTAGACATACTGTATACAGTTAAAAAAGTATACATGAATGTAAGTTGATAGTATTGATTCTCTCCAGTCGCCACATGTGAGGATACCTCTGGGTCCACCTTCTTTTCCCTGGGTCCAAGAGCCCTTTAGAGGAGCCTGATAGATGGCAGGGTGAAAGGATAGGTGAGACTGAGCGTACAACTGGGTGTAAAGTCACCCTGTAAACTCTGGATCCCTAGTGACATCTCCTGATCTCCTCACCTAGATTCCTAACTCCTGTTGCCCTCCTTTCTAGTTTAAGCGGCTACAAGGCAAAAGGAACCGAGGGAGGGAGGAAATCAACTTTGTGGAGATCAAAGGTGATGACCAGCTCAGTGGGGCTCAGCAGTGGATGACCAAGTCACTGACAGAAGAGAAGACCATGAAGTCATTCAGCAAAGTAAGTGGAAAGGCCCAAGGGGTGGCCTTGACACCGAGCAAATCTTGTTCTACTTCTTGTCCTGATGCCACACCCCTTTACTCTTAGCACCGTTAGCAAACACATGTGGCCTGTGGTGCTGGAGTGTGCCCCAGACCTCACAGGGACAGTCCTGCCTTCCAGAACTGGGCAGCACTGTGACTGCTGTCTGTATGGGTCATGGCATCTGGCTATGAAGAGGGAGCGGCTGGGGCAGCGTCCCAGCTTGCTACTGGAACAGTCTCTGATGTGTTGTGCTCCTTCCCTGATGAACAGAATCCACAGCCTTTTTGCTCTGTCCCCACAGTATTATCCCTCTTTCTTTCCTGGGCTCAGCACGTGTTTGAGGTTTGCCCATAGCAGACCTTCAGGAGTGTTAGAGCCCCTGGTTTTGAGTGTGCAGCTCTTCCTTGCTCCTTTCTTACCATTATTTACCATAGCCAGCTGTGGTCTTTTTGAGTGCTTTTCTTCCGTACATTTCCTACCCCATACTCCTGCCTTCTTTGTAGTTTTCTTCTACCCGGGTGATGAAAGTCTCTTCACCTAGTAGCTGAGAACAGCAAATGTGGGCATTTATGAGCCTGCCACGGAGAGGAATGTGGGGAAGCCCTGGATTTAAGCCCTGCACCAGCAAGGCCAAGGTTGACGATTTTACACGCACCGCCCGCCCCCCCATTTGCTTTGCTTTGTTCTGTGGCCACAGATGGCCATCTGGGCCCCAGTCATTTGTTTTAACTGAATGCTGGCGGTCATACAGGACAGAGCAAAGGATTGTGGTTAGATCAGCATAGATCCATCACTGTTTACTGGAAAAACCACTTAGGAGAGCTTGCTCTACTAACTGGGGGTCGAGAAGCATCATCACATAGTGATAGCTGCTGCTGTTAGCACTCATCATAGGTGAGGGATGACACTGGATGTTTTATGTGTATCATCTTTAACTGTCACGTTAAATGACATGCAATAGTAGCAAGAAATTAGAAGCTCCATTTTTTTCCCAGCTCCAGGTTTTCTTCCCACCATCTCATTGTATTGAACTAGCTTTTTAAAAAAGAAGAAAAAGATATATTCTCTGTCCTTGAGGAGTTGACAGTGTAGTTGGGAAGAAGAGATTTAAGGACACTTGAGTATAAATGATTACAGTGCAAATTGATTACATAAGTGCTGAGGAGACTCTGGAGAGGAGCTTTGAGAGTTGGGTGGGGCTGGCTAGGAAGCTTCTAGCCTGAGACAACTCTGATAGGACAGAGAAACCACGGAATGAAAGCCCAGGCCAATATAGACTTTGACAGCAAATCCTTTGCATCAGAGTTTGGTTAGGGGTTCAGTGCAGTTACAAGTGGACGCTGGAAGATCAGAGAGATGGAGTGGTTGTGAAATTTCAAATTCCAGGGAAGCTGTTTGCTCTCCTAGAATGAGGGAGGTGGGGTTCCAGCCAAAGGTGATTGATGGGAAAGCTCCACGAACAGTAGGTAGGAGACCGGAGAGACTCCTGGCCTGATGGGGGAAGAGGACAGAAACGAAGAGGGCTGAAGGGACAGATGGGCATAGGCATTGTGGGGGTCTGGAAGGAGGGCAGAAGATCACCGGCCCTGGCAGGTAAGCTGTTTTAGGCTGACTGCTAGTAATGAAACCAGCCTGAGTTGTCTGTCATGGGGAGAGCCCTCTCTGAGCTTGGTGCGGGAGGTACAACAGGATCACCAAAGAAACAAGACAATCCTGACCTCAAACTATTTCCAGTCTAATGGGGATGTTAGCAAGCTATTTCAGGCAGGCATTCTTAACTGGTTTTTTTTTGCATAATGGCTTTAATAAAAATGACTGTTATGTGAGTATATAGAGATAAAAAATAGTGCCAAGCTGCCTTTTCTGCACCGGAGTTGCCTGTTTAGTTGGTTTTTCAGTCGCCAATCTTGCACTGTTGGGCACGTGAAAAACTTCTGCTTTTCTTCCTGTGAGTTAAGGACTGTTTTCTTTTCTTACAGAAGAAAGGTGAGCAGCCAACAGGCCAGCAGCGGCGGAAACACCAGATCACATATCTGATTCATCAGGTGAGAATGCTGTGGGCCCTGGCCAGGCAAGATCCCTAAAAACCTGGGACTTTGAAGGCTGAGGTCAGGGCTACCAGCAGGCACCTCCCTGTTCTCTGCGTGGCCACTAGGGGGAGATGTATCCTTCAGCATTAACCTGCTCTGCAGCCTTTGACTGCGTGAAAATCTGTGTAGAAGTGCTTACAGTAAACTCTATAAGTGAAAATTCATATACTGGAAAAGAATTTGAGGAGAGTGAAATGGCTTCTAGAGTTTTTAAGTAGTTTTTTTTTTATCTGGTAAAGAAAAAGTTGATGCACTAACTTAGCAAAACATCCACCTTTCGAGGAGATTGGTTTTGTATTCTCCAACACAGATTTCAGAATTACAGATAATCCAGAAATATCTTTGGGAATGAGAGTGTGTCTTGGTATTTGAGATGACCAGGTACCTTTAACATTTAATCATTACACACTCTTCTGGCCCTTGTCCTGAGGAATTGCTTTCTGGTTGGTGGTTTCAGTGGCAAATCCTGCTTTTATTATCCTTGTCTATTTCTACTTTCCTTTTCAGGAACTCCTTTGTATTTTTCTACCATCTTGGAAGGTTTGTAAAGAATGTTAGGATAGGATCTTTTAAATCCCAGACACTTAACTGTAATCTACCTCTCCAAGTCCAGGAGAAATGAGCAGGCATCAGATAACTTGGCGGGGCTGGGAAGCCTCTTTTCCAGGGTGGTGCTTGTATGTTCTCAGAATGCACTGAAGAACCAGCTATTGTGATCAGAAGAGAAAGGTCGCTATTCTAGTACCTCTCAGTTTCCCAGCTTTGATTATTATTTTAAAGCAGTATGGGAGCTGGGTATGGTGATGCATGCCTGTAGTACCAGCACTCAGGAAGCTGAGGCAGGAGGATCACCATGAGTTTGAGGCTAGCCTGGGCTACGTAGTGAGTTCAAGTCCAGCTTGAATTACATAGCAAGACCCTGCCTTGAAAAGAAAACAAGCTGGGCGTGGTGGCGCACGCCTCTAATCCCAGCACTCGGGAGGCTAAGATAGGAGGATCGTGGCGAGTTCGAGACCAGCCTTGGCTACAAAGTGAGCTCAAGGCCAGCCTGAACTGCATAGCGAGACCCTGTCTCAAAAAGACAAAAAAAGACCAAAAAAAAAGGAAAAGAAAACAAGCAGTAAGTCATGTGTTTTGCGGGGCCTGTGGCACACACCTGTAATCCCAGCAGTCAGGAGGCTGAGGCAGGAGGAGTGCTGTGAGTTCGAGGCCAGCCTGAGCTATATAGTGAGACCCAGCCTCAACAAACACACACACACACACACACACACACAC